TTTAATATAAAAAAATCTTGTAGAGCAGTTTTTCTTATTTAACCTACTGGAAATGGACTGTGATTTTGTGCATTAAAAAGATAAAAATTGCTCTTGAAATATTTTTGCTTGTTCTGAGCCCCACCAAAATAAGCCATTTCTGACCGTGATGATTGGGCAGTGCTTAGAGAGGAGGTGAATTCATCAGAGACTTAGACATTGTTGCAGTTTCCTTTTTGGTCATGGAATTTTGATTTAAAAATACCTTGTGCACTTCCTTGGGAGCACCGTTATTCTTTGACAGTATCCTGAAGTTTGTTTCTATGATTTGAAATGCCACAGGGATTTGGATATAAGAACCTGCATGGTCCAGTTTTCATAATGTAAATAAGACTAGATACTTTGTTTATGTGCTGTTTTTAGGCACTTTTGCTTCCTTTTTATATTTTTAACTTAAACCTCATTGTTAATGTTGTTCTTAAACAAGATCCTTCTTTTTGCAAAATAGCATTTTTATTTTGTTTTACTTTCAGTTAGCTGAACTGCTGGTACGTTTCCTGTCTACTTTTTCTAAAATACAGAAGTTTTTCACTCTCTGAAATAAACCTATTTAGGCAGGGGTTTTTTTTCTGATTTCTGTTTTGTTTTGTTCCATACTTTGTCCTTCACGTTGTATAAGGCATAGAAATTTTTTTTAAAATGATTGGTTATAATTAGGATCCCAGTTGGGAGAAAGCTCATGTACAGCAAATAAGACTTAAAACTGGTGAAATAAGGGAGTAGAAAGGGAATTGCTGTAACTAGTAGGAAAGGAGGTAGGTAGTTATTGCCCCAAGTATTTTCTTTCTCTTTGATTAGTCTGTTGATTGGCCTTTTAGTTTTTTGATTGATTTGCCTAACTGTGATTTGTTGTGTGGATTTTACTGGGTATCTGAATGCAAGTCATTAAGAAGAGTTTGAAGAAAATGTACAATTTGATTTACTGAAAACATTTGAATGAAGATTAATAAAGTGTATATTACAGATCATTTGACAACCATGTATTTGACTTGTGAAAAAACATTGCAATCCTAACTCTGCTAACTTTTCATTATCTGTTGGTTGGCTTGTAGTATTTGAGGAACATGATCTTTAACCCTTTCAGGGCATTCAGTTTTTCCATTTGTATTTATATTTAAAGCAGTAATTTTTTTTATTGCTGTAAGGAAATAGAGATGGCAGAATCAATATAGTAAACCTACCTTTTAACATAAAATATTTCTAAACATTTTGGGGTGCTAGAAATATCAAGCTGCCATCTCAATAATAAATTAAGCTTTTTAACTTCTCTTATCCTTTCTCTTTTAACTGTTTACAGCATCAGGGTTTTTGTTTTGCAAATTAGGAAATGGTATCCATATAAACTTAAAAGAGTGGAAATGTATACAAAGATGTTACTGGTAATATTATTTTTATTTATATCCTCTTCTCCCCTCTCCTCCCCCTTTCTGTAGGCTGCTTTGTGCATGTTGTTTTATTGAATTTAATAGCTACACCTTGTGCAAGAGTGGTGTGACTCCCTGTTAAATCAGTAAATCACATATCTACTAAATCAGAGGTGCTCAATCTCCTTTCCTGGCCTCTAGCACCTTATCATCTGGCCTGCACGGCTCCCCCATGGGCTGTGGCCCTGCACAACTAGTTCTGGCATGCAGGGTGACGTGGAAGGTGGCGCGGTCTGGCTGTGGACATGTGGGCCTGATCCTGGGGCTTGGGGTCTGTTTCGGCTTGCGGCCTGGCCCAGCATCACTCATTTGGCTCTTGGGACTAAAAGGTCTGCATGAGGTGGACTGGGATAGGAGTGAAGAGAGAAACATGCCTCCTAACCTCTACCTTTACTAAGCATGCTTCTGACGATGAACAGAAATAACAGATGAAGCGATATGGTTTGTCCTGAGTGCCCAGGTGTTGTGGAGAATGTGAGGTATTGGGGTGAAATGCAAAGGAAGTGGTACTTAAATTTGACTGAACTGAATGCAAAAGGAGGTTTTGTGTTTTATGCTAGAAATAGTGTGGGACCTTCTGGTAGATGGGTAGGAAATGTGCATTGATATGTGAATTTTATTTTTCTCAATTGAAACGTGAATCTTTGTAGTTTTCGTTTTCTGTAACTGCTGTATATGAATGAGGGCCTGGTTATTTTTAAAAAATGTTTAAATGTAGCAATTAATGAGCTGGATGTTTAAACCCATAACTCAAAATGAAATAAATGTCAGGAAATTTCGTTGTTTCTCCAGAACAGGGCAGTCCAACTTTTGAGCAACCAGGGACTGGACCAGCAGGGTCCTGGGGGCCTGCCAGTCTGCAAGCTTGCACACTCAGGTGTGCAAACTGCCTCTCACGTGCATGTGCCCCCCATCCCCTTGGGCCTCACTTTCAGTTCCTCGTCCATGTGCTATGCCTGGGCAGGGGCATGTGGCAGGTGTCTAAGGAGGAAGGGAGAGCCCTGAACTTCTGGCTGCTCTTGCAGAAGAAGTGGCAGTGATGACTGTGTGGGAGCTCAGGAGGTCACATGTTAACCCTTCATGGGCTGCCAGCTGAACAGCCCTGCTCTAGAAAATACTTTAAAATGTTGATGAAGAAGCCTGGTATAGATTTTCTTTACTTGTATTAAGTCTTTGATCCTGACTACTTAGCTTGAAGAACTTATAAACTCTCTAATAATTTGAGCATGAATTGGATGAGGAAGGGTAAGGAGCAAATATTATTGTACTGAAAGAGTTGTACTTAATTGGGAAGATAGTGATGTATGAATTCTGACCCCAGAAAGTTACATGAATAGGTGGGTGAATGGAGGAGGTAGTGAATAAACATTGATTTTTAAATTCCTATAAACATTAATAGGAAGGAGAATGTATTGGATTTGTCTCATCTTTTCTGGAGATGAAACTGACTGAATTAAGCTCTCTTTCTTCCCCTGATTCTCCATTTTGTTTGTTTTTTAAACTCCTTCTATCCTAGACCTCAGCACATGTTTTAGAAATCTTCTTAAATGCAGTGAGAGTCTAGGTGTCTTATGAGCTCTTAGATATTGTTAATAGCTGCCCTTCTTTCTCCCCACCCTTATATTTAAAAGTTTGTATAATAACATGTTATAATTCCCAGTTTGCTTTGTATTTGTGTAGCTGGTGAGAAATTCTCATGGGGATTGTGGAGTACTCCCACCCCATCACCCACTTTTCCTTGACCTGTTATTTTTTTTTATTTTTTACTTTGTTGGGATTGAAATGTTGCAGTTGTCGTAGACCTGAGGTGTGCAAAGATTTGGCTCTGTGAAAGTAAGACTCGCTAGAAGTTGGTCTTGACGGTAAAAAAAAAAAAAAATTACCAAGGTTTGTTAAAGAGTATATGCTTAGTATTGGGCAAATTTGCTACAAGTATTTTATTTTAAAGTTAGGTTAAAAAACATCTTGACGCCCACGTTGCTGGGGTCATCTGACCCCAGCAGTCTTTCCTGCCCGAGTGCAGGGGGGCTTGACCTGATGATCTTGTATGGTCCCTTCCAGAATCTGTGAATGTTCAGTTGCAAAAGTTGTTTGAGTATAAATATAACACATTTGTATAAATGTAATGGGACAAAATTAGAATAATTTTACAACTCATCTGACACCTGTATGACTTTCTGCACTTGTGGGAGCTTTACTGGAAAGAGGTGGTTGAGCCGTAGCAAGTGGGGAAGAAGAAAATGGCAGGGGTTGAGAATGGGAAGTACTGTCACTTGAGATCACTCAGTACTCAAACGTAACAGCTAAGAGCCTTGCATTTGGGCCGCTGTAGGCAGTTGCACTTTATCCCTGAGTCCTGTGTATTGTATTTTCACAAAGATGCCGTGGGTGTGTCTGGACAAGCGCACATGTGTGTTTTAGGCACGGGTTTGTTTGGGTTTTTTACACTGAGATCTCCTGGTAACAAAAAACCTTTGCCATGCTGCAAATTAGCAGCGTGGTGAACGTCTGCATGTGCGGTATGTGCAGTTTGCAGTCTGTGGTGTCGCATACCACGTATGCATGCTTAACTGGATGTGCCCCTTGATAGCAACATGAGCTGGCATACACTACGGGTCTTGTTTATCTTATTAATATACTTACTCTGTAGAACAGATTACTTATTAGTGCACTATTCAGTAGTTTTATGACTTTTCAGCTGATTCTTATTCCAGTCCCAACTGAGGCAGCTCCTATCAATGCAATTCCTGGGGAGCGGACCCACATACCCTGCCACCTTTAAAACGCTGAACCAAGGGGACCTCTTCTCTTTTAGGGCTTGTCTCACTGATTTAAATTAAACTTTGATTTTGGTGCAATTTATCTAACCTTGTGTGCATGTCTATGCTTGTATAGCTAGTTCAGTTCAATATATCACACCTTAATTTGAACCAGTGAGTTTCATTGGAAGTTTTCCTGTGCAGACCAGATTGCCAAGTGAGTCCATCTTTTGTTTCCTAGCATCCTGAGCTCTTTGACTTACCGTGTAATACTTTTTTTTTTTTACTGGTATTTGCTGAAAATCAAATAATTATTTCTGTAACAACAATGAAAGTGATGAAAGTCAGCAAGTAAAATCTACTCTTCATCATTGGAGTGCTTTCTGTGTTGTAAGTACTATACAGATATAAGTTAAGCAATCTATGGAGTGTTCTTGAAACAGCAGGTGGTAAGTCCAGTTTTGCAATCGGGGATACCAAGATGGTGCAGTGACTTACCCAGTGGCTTTGAATTGGGAACCTACAGACTTTAGGTCATATTCCTTGAGATACAGCTGAGGCTAGTTATTTATTGATGTTCTGTTTTATAGTGAAGTTTTAGGAGAAGAACAAGAGGGAGTGTGTATGCAATACCTTAGATGCACGTTTCAACATCCATCTTCCAAAGGCACTCAACTGTTGGATTATAAAAGATAATTCAAATTGGACTAAATGAAGGTTGCATAGTAGCATTGAGTTTGCTGTGACCTAACATTTTGTGACTTTTTTCTTTTTAAAGAGCCCTCCTGCATGGATCAGCCTTCTAGTGATGGTGAAGCTGGAAGAAGGCTACTCTAACCAAACCCAGGATGAATCGACTGCCTGGTGATGCAGAAAATGCCCATAGTAGCAGTCTGGGCTCTTGTCCTTCTTTGCGAGATGTGCATACTATCAACCCAACGCAGCTAATGGCAAGGATCGAGTCGTACGATGGCAGAGAGAAGAAAGGCATATCTGATGTCAGAAGGACTTTCTGTTTGTTTGTTACATTTGACCTCTTGTTCGTAACCTTACTGTGGATAATAGAGTTAAACGTGAGTCTGGCTTTCAAACTTTTCAAGATTGCTCAGATAAAATTTAGAGTCAGAACCAATATTAGCCTTACTCCCAATCTACCTCCGATGTGTGCTTAAACCATAAGCATCATCTTGTCTTAGTTTTTTGTGAAAATTGCTATCTATTTAGTTTAGCAGCGACTACTGTGCTTAGTTGCAAGAGTGAACATTTTGTTCATACTGTTAGCTCGTTTCTAACAGCACTTCAGTTTTGTTACCATATGGCTAAGAAAGCCCAATACTTACTTTGTTTCTCTAATGGGAATAGCGTCTTGTGAAGGTTGTCTTCCTGTTAGTTTTTTGCTTTTCAGGTAGTATTTTTTTGCCTTGTTCCAAGTTTTATTCTGTAAACTTAAGAATGCTTTTGAATAGATATATTAATATACAGTCTGGTGGGTTGAATTAAGCAACAGCTTGTAGTTATAAAATTGCCATATGTTTCTCACATTTTGGGGGTCTGGCTTTTTGTAATTTGGAAAAATGAGATCTTTCAGAAATATCTAAGAGAAAGCATAAACAAAAGTAATGTTATGATGTAAGTGAAGTTTTGGCTAATCTGGGGTTTGTAGGTATCCACAGACCGAGATGTTAAATTACAGCCTGAAAGTACATTAAAATTATGATTATTTAAAAAAAAAATTACAGTTACGTTTTCAGGACAGCTTTTTAAAGATATGGAGTTGATCATAGATGTGAAGTCTCAAATATTGACCATGAGTTGACATAGTATATCAGCATGCTTTGGTAAAAGTGATTTGCTGTGTTAGCAGTCAGGCAGAAACTAGGGCGGGGTGGCACTTTAAAAGCTATTTTAGCAGGTAGGTAAAAAGAGAGGGCAGAAGGATTTTTCACAGTTTATTTTTGAGGTTAGCGGAGTATTTTGAAGCTAGAGTTGGGAGAAAGAAGCAGAGATGCCAAAGTATACTGTGTCAGTGCAGAGTTAGTCTTTGACATGGAAATGATTGTATATGCCTTAGGAGGGTTTGTTCTTGATACATTATCAGGGACTGTTTAAAATGTCCTCTGTTCTTAGTTCTGGCCTTCACCTTCCTCCGCTGCTCATTCTCTGTATACTCTTCCCACCTTAATTCTGATTCTGTGCCGGTGTCCCCTGTTCATATCAATCTGCCACCACCTTTGTGATTCAGACTGTACCACTTAAGAGTTAAGGAGTTATAACAGAAATGCCTTTTCATTGAACTTCACTTTGGCTTTGTGACAACATTACTGTGGCTGCTGAATAGTTCAGGTAAGAATCCAAAGAGGTCAGTTTCCAGTCATCAAGTATTCAGGATTCAGCAGCCATGTCATTTTGGTCTTATGAAAGACTTGTTCCCCAAAAGGCCATCAAAGGGTCCATTTAGATGATCAGAAATTGGTGTTTTCCACTATGGAGAATGTGAAACCTAGTCCAATTTTTAAAGCCATGTTGCCTATTTCTATTTGGCATGGCACTAAAGTAATTATGCAAGTTACACAGGTATATCTCAACATGACAGCTAATTCAGATTTTTAACAACAAATAATGGCTATTTGTAAGCTTGTAGTGGATTCTTGAATGCATGCAGCACATTTTTGCAGGTTTATCCAAACTTTACAGTTCTGATGCATGTTCTTTTCTTTAAATGGACTAACTCTCATATTAATTCTAATAGGGATTGTGTGATCGATATTGCACAAATACAGGTTTTCTTTCTCTTGCCCATCAGACTGAAGCTAAAGGTTCTAAATATTTATATTGGAATCAGAGCAAGTTTAAATCTTCGTTTGTTACAGAACTTCATTGGAAACCAAAGTAAGGGTGTATGCTAAAATCACATAGTTTAATTCCTGTCAAGTTGTTCTTCCCTTTGCAAATATTACTGCTTTTAATTCTTACTTACAAAAGACAAAGTATGCACTGTATAAATTCTGCAACAACTAAAATTTTTGATACAACAGTAGCAGTGATAAACTGGCTGTGACTGTCTAAACATCTTATCCTGTTCAGTGATTCAGCTTGTTTCAGAAGAGTCTTTTTTTACTCGCATTACACCTGGGCGTATGCGTCACTTGTAGAGGTTTTGTAGGAGTAAATCTCTAAAGAGAAGTGACACTCTTTTAGGATGAGTTTTTGGAGAAAGAAACCATCAACTAAGAAGGCTTAGACTGGATTTTGGATGGAAATATAATCAGACCAGGGTGAGGAAGCCACTCAGTTCATGGAACTAAAGTACTGTTCTAATTGGAGAAAGATAAATAGTGCAGGCTTTTAGTCTTTCTTCAGGATTGTGTGCTTGTTTGTTTGGTTTTTTTATTTAATTCTGTTCCAGTGCTCATGTTGGAAATGCAACAACTGCATGGTTAATCCTACCATGGTTTTTAAAGGAAAAAATTCCATCAGTAATACAATTTGAAGCATCTCTCTTTGTAGCTATGGTGCCATTCAGGGCATAGTGTGAAATGATTAGAATATAGAAACCTAGGTTCTTTATTTCAGTTTTTAAAGTGATGTTTTATCCACCATTTTACAAGTTTTGCACTTGATAGTTATATAGCAGTATAGAAGATGTGGGACAAGCTGCTAACGAAGGGGGCTTGCATGGTTTCATTGCTTCTAGTACCATGTAAATGCTTTTACAGATTCCACAAAAATGTCTTTGAATTTGTTTTGTGCCATCAGTGAGCAGGTATATTAAATAACTGATATTTTCTATTCAATTGGCAAAAGCAAACCATTCAGAAACACTCATTTTATTTATCACACTTGTTCCCATAGTTTCTTAGTGCATTATGTTGGCTTTTTTTACACAGTTCAAAGTCAAAATCGAGAAATAATCCTGGAAACAGGGTATGGAAAATAAGACTCCTACTCCTAGTGAATGCCTTAGCTGCTTAGCTACAATACAGTACTAGTTATTCCTTACCCAGTGAATCTCAGATTATTTTCTGCAGGGTAATACTGCTTCATTAGGAGTGGATAGTGCCCATAACCAGAATATCTTATAAATCTGGTGGTTAAGGCACTCTCCTGGGAATTGTAAAATGTGGGTTTTTCCTTAAGCAGAAAAGAGAATGTCAGCTTGATGTTCCATATCCCAGGTGAGTGCTCTAACCAGTAGGTTTTTTCATAGAGGCAGACAACCACAGCCATCATCTCCTCTCTTTTAAAAGAAAAAATTGAATACTGCTCATGCTATGGGTCCTGAATGCATGGGGATATTTGTTTTGAAGCCCTGAATAAAAGATCACTGAGGTCCCAGGAGAGGAAGAATTTCAGACTCATCCCTGCCCCCTTATTGTTTCCTGTTGACCTAGCTCTTGGTTGTTACATACTGATGTTAGGCTGCTTCCTGCTCAGCCAGTTGGCTGTTTTGAATCTATTCTGAGGAGTCTAATCCTGTCAGTAACTCTATGCAAGCATTTGGATATCAATAATTTTCCAATTTAAAGTTATAAATGATGTATTTTTTTTTCCTTCTAGGTAAATGGGGGCATTGAGACTACTTTAGAGAAGGAAGTCCTGCAATATGACTACTATTCTTCATATTTTGATATATTTGTAAGTGTTTTGTTGTTTCACAGTTTATTGAAAAATAACAAAACAATTCCCCCCCCCCTCCCCAAGACATTTTAGCTTTTATTATACCCTAATCTGGGTACTGTGTAAGGGTTAGATTCTCTTAGAATTTAAGCCAGAGGAACATGTGCTCCACTAATTTCTTTTAGGTTTTATATTCTCATATTGGTACATGCCAGATGGTTGATAGTGAGGGATAGGTTGCGTGCAGAATAATGTATATCTGCAGGGGTAAAGTTTGTTGTAGGTTTACCCATTTCAGCTGAAATGGATCTCTCTAAACTTTCCTAAAAAAATAGATTTATGATGCATTAAAATATGGGTTGCTTTAAGTATAATGATCCTGCTTCCACCTACATACTATACAGGCCCATTGAACAGAGTGGAAGGTAGAACAGCAGTTCTGATACTTAACATGTTTTCTTATACCACATGCATCTTTTCCCAGCAAAATTGCTATTCTAAAATTGGGGTGCATGTATTAAGTAGGGAAACTTATTTTTCTCTGATTTTTTCATAAGATTGTAGCTTTGTGGCTATGTTAGGGGGGGACAATGGAAATGATATTCATCATTGCAAGAATTTTGCAGATCTCAGTATGTGAATGTGTTGTTTTGTGGTTTGGGTCCTGTGCTCTGCAGGATGTGCTCTTCCTTTTCCCTGGCCCCTAATCCTTTTATGGAGCTTTTATGTCTTGCTAGCCTGGGGAGAGAAATTGCTGATGCAGCAATCCTTTGATGCGTTTGAATTGAATTGAATTGCCTGATGTGGAACTGGTATAGAAATCTGCCACCTTTTCCACACTGTAACTGATTTCTATGCCTTCAGGGAGGGTTGACAAGTCTGTACGAGAAAGCCACATTGTTCTATCGTACTTCTTTCAACAACTCTTTGCAATATCTTTAGTTCCAGAAAACTAAAAGACCTCTTTGTTCAGCTTAAATTAGTCTACCTTCTAGTTAGATTTGCTAATGTAGAAATATATATGTGTATAGATTGGGAAACTTTGGATGCTAATAAAGTTATTGAAGTCCAGGAATTAGCTTATAATTAACATTTCTGCTTCTAGCATGAACGTCAGCAATCTTATGCAAATACATATTTTAAAATAGGTTAGTGTTGTGTTTTCAGAGCTATTTTCATTCTTGATGATTCTTGACTGTTGGTCAAATGAAAGATATTTCTCTTAAACTTAGCTATTTGCTTATTTCACATTTTGTGAATTTTCTTTTGTGAACTCATTTTAACAGAAGATGCCAGACCTAGCACAGTTGTTCTGGGGAATGAGTACAGAACTAAATGCATTGACTCTCTCAATTTAGAATTCTAACCATTCCTTTGCCACTGACTCATTCTTTGGCCATGGGCAAGTCCTGTAGACTCTCTGCCTCAAATTTTAGTCATGAACTGTGCATAACTATCTACCTTCAAGGGGTGCTGGAAGAATTACTTATCATTCTTCAAATGGGTACAATACTCTTTCTGACAGCAAGAATATATTGAATCAAATTTGCACATATACTCATAAAGGGGTAATCAATGACAGTGCAGTATATGCATATTTATAAGACATGAATATTTCAGCAAACTTCTTACGTTCTTTATAAGTGCAGAAATATTTGTATAAATATGTTTCTTCCTTCCTTTGCCATCTGTACTGTTAGCAATTTTAAATTGTACTTACCCAGTAATGTTAGATGTTGAGTAAGTTAATTACATACAGCTATAACCATTGTGGTCCCCACCTTGCAGAGACATATGTAAGTGTAAGTCTACCTGTATAGTGCTCTGATTTAATTTATACGAGCGATGTTTCATATACTTACATAAGCATTCAAGCATATGAATAGATCCATTCAGTGCTGTGTTTTGCTATTCGAGAAGCCAGATTGTTCAAAATTTTTCCTAAAAATTAACTTACCGTTGGTTGTAGTCTATTCAATATATTTAGTCAGCTGAATCTTGTGTGTTTTCTATAGGTTCTGAATTAACCAACCAATATTTTTTTTCCTTTCTCTATAGCTACTGGCAGTCTTTCGATTTAAGGTGTTAATACTTGCATATGCAATGTGCAGACTGCGCCATTGGTGGGCAATAGCTGTGAGTAGTAGACGAGCATAACTGAGTTTTAACCAGAAATGGGTCAAATGTAGACAAATTCTAGATGCCTACAAATGTTTGCTTGTTACGAATCAGCTGGATGCTATACTATAATTAAGTCAATACACAATGGTCACTTGCCAAACAAAGGTGTCCGAGTCTGGAAGATTTTTCCGGTACACAGACAAGTGTTATGGGGCCAGTAGGGTATTGTTCTTGTTGAACGCACACTACTAGGAGTACAGTGATGGTTTCAGAAGAACCATTTATGCTTTTTGCAGAATCCTAACTCCAAATTCCTTTTTGATATGAAAATGAAAGGAATAGGTTGACTTTTTTTCCCCCTTGTATTTCTATCACCAGTTGCTGTTGTGCTTACCCTGTCACTTCATAGCCCCTTATTACACCAGCTTTGTTTCCTTTAAAACAAGCTTTTGAAAACCCTGCTCCCCAAATCAGCAGTTGAAAATAGGAAGTATGAAGGAGGAAAGGAAAGTTTATCAGGACGAAAGTTAGTACTTATACCTGCAAATTACAAATGGCAGTAGTAAACTCCAGAGATCATCTATTGTATTCACTACTGCCTTACTCAGATTTTTAGATATCTGCAGCTGTACCCATGTTGCTTTATGCTTGACAGTCATAAGACAGTGATTTTTTTCCCAGTGGTTTGGAGCAGTATCTCTACTGTAACTATTTCTGTAGCTGAATAGGAGGGGAAGTTTAACACTGTTTAATTGCTCTGACTCATTCTTCCACCCACATGGTGGATTACAGTTGATACTGCAGGCTATAATATAATAATGCACATACTGCTGGCTCACTGTGCTGCGTATCCAAGAAATTATTTTTCCCTTGCATTGTGCTAGGAGTAGAGTGAAGCAAATGTGGCTGTTCTACATAAAATGTTTTCAAAGCAGAAATATGCAGTGTTTTACAATAAGCTGACTCTGAGCCCTATCCAGTACCTTGGTTCAGTAAAGGTGTATTGCCAGCTTACCCCATAAACCCAATAGCAAATGCAGCTACATTTGAGATGCTGGTTGCTTTCCCTCCCTGCCAACCCCTCCCCCCCCATCCTAAAATGAGTGCATCTCAAAATCCTCTTGCTGCTTATAATTTTGTGTAGCATTAGAATATGTCAAGCAAATGAAATGTACCTAACTTTATTTATGGGGCTATGTGGTACCAAGGTTTCGTTCCTCATTGGTGTATCCCTCACTTGATCCCTCCTTTTGGGGACAAAAAAAAATCATTTGGGACCTTTTCCAAAATAAGTGTTAATTGCATCTTATATCCCACTTATGTTTCAGAAAACCACAGGTTTATACAATTTAATATCACTTGGTCATCTGCAGGAAAGAAATACATGGTCATTTGCAGGCAAAGCATCTCTTTGCAATATGCCCAGCTCAAGTGAATGCTGTTAACATATCACTTTCATGATCATTAATTTTATACAAAAATGTTTTCTCTTCCAATTTAAACTATCAGCCCTCTCACCTTCTAAAATAAAGCTTTTAATTTTAAACATAGTACATAGTAGTATCTCGCTAAAATGGGTTTTGGGAAGTCAGTGAAAGGATTGCGTTTTTGTTCTGAGGTGTGTAATTTCATGACAAATAGGGAATTATATCGGAACATATAAGCAATCACTATATGTGCGGTTTCTAAATTTTGTTCTCTACTCTTTGAAAGCAAGCAAGTACCCCCAGATTTGAAGGTATCCAAATTCAGGGGAATTGTCCTCTCTAGACAATCAAATTTGAGTTAGTACCATTAGTAAGGCTGGGATGAAGAGAGAAACTAAGATTTTCCTAAGTGTTGGGCAAATTTTAATGAGATTTGGATTCTGTACCTCTATTGATCAATAAATAATTATACCATGTCATAGCTGAAAAAGTAAATCTCTAGTTGATATTTCAGTTTTAATGTTCTCTTTTTTTCTTTCAGTTTACAACAGCAGTGACCAGTGCCTTTTTACTAGCAAAAGTAATTCTCTCAAAGGTATATATTCAGATCTAAATTGTTGAGACATTCTATTTTTTTTATAATGGGATTCTGTAAAATTGTGTTTGTTTATTCCCAAGCTGTTCTCTCAAGGTGCTTTTGGCTATGTGCTGCCCATCATATCCTTCATACTTGCCTGGATAGAAACATGGTTCCTGGATTTTAAAGTATTGCCACAAGAAGCAGAAGAAGAAAACAGTAAGTTTAATTTCTAATACAGGTTTCTCTTCGTTTATGCTGTACATGTGTTCCTGGAAAACAGCACATAATTCAAATTCGCATAAAGGGAACCGACTTTGTAATGTAACAAATAGGGATATTCCAAGACCTCAACTGTACTGACCCCTAGACCCATTTCTACCACTTTTACAAGACAGTTTTGGTACTCAACAACAGTCAACGGTACACACAAGCACAGGATGGTGGTGAATGTTACCAGAAAATGTGGACGGCAACTACAGAAACACGTGTCGCAGACAACGAGTGAGGAGCACAGATCCACACAGGAGACTATATTTTGGTGTGCATCACTCCCACAATGCATTGCATAAAGCAGCTGACTTCAGGCTTCTACCACACCCATCGCATAAGAGTGAATTTAATTCGCATATAACAAATTTTTGGTATAAAAAGGGTCATTGCATAAGAGCAAATTTCCGCATATAGAACCTGCATAAAATGAGGGAAACCTGTAGTAACTACTGTTGACTTCATTTCCTCTTGTATCCTCACGGGCAGAAGAGTAGTATTGATTGTCTTGATGAAGCAAAACACTAATTGATTGCATAAGATAGAGTGGGGAGCGAGTAGATGTTTTTGCTAAGGAACTTTCTGGTTTTAATTTTTAATGTGTTGAGGCAGGTTATATTGAATCTTCCATGTTTGCATCACAAGATAAAGTTTGGTTTAAAACATTTAAGATCTTAAGGGAACGTTTGCTTGCTAGATCAATAAATCCTAATAATGGCATCAATGGAACCTGGGTACTGCTTACCAAACGACATCACTCCAGAACACCAAATCTGGCTCTTTTTTTTTTTCTTTTCTTCCCTGCAGCCTTTTTGTATGTAGAAATCTTATCCAAAACATTATTATTAAATTAGTGGATCTGGTTTTTTGTTTTTGTTTTGCTTTTTTTAAGAAGAAATTTTAACACAATTTTTCATAACTTTCCTTTTATTCTGTATGAGGAAGGGACAACAAATTTATAATAAAAAGAAAGTTTTGTATGAGTTACTGATACTTTTTGCAGCTCAGAAATAAACAAGGAAACAATCCACTGAACTCAAAACCAGAAACTTTTACATTAGCAGCCCAATTCTTTTTAGTGCTATTTTACATTGAATATTCATAAGTCAAGAAGAAACTTGACCTGAAAACCATGTAGCTTTCACATATCAAGTGGTTAAAAATTACTGTAAGAACAAAAGATTTTATTTCCAGTATTGGTGGGTTGAAACAGATAGTTAATGCCTAGATTTCTAAAGAAATGCAAAAATCTAGAACTCTTGGTTCCAAAATGATACCTTTTATTAGACCAACAGGGAAATTGCAAAAAAAAAAATTAAAAAAAAAAAATCTTTTTCTGCAAGCTTTCAGGCTCATGTGCCCTTCATCAGGCTCAGGGAAAGTTCAAGATGGTAAAAAGTCCCCATATGTAGGAAATAAGCTTCATTTTTGCACAGAGGAAGCAGAAGCTGGCAAACTGTCCCTCTGGGTCCATGAGTCTTTGTGAGCTTGCTCTTTGTTGTGTAGCTCATGCAGGATTTCTTCCCTGGTGGTGTCAGATAGCAGGCAGGGAGGTGTAGAAATCTTTCGTGTTGTTCAGTAATAAAGTTTATATAAGTTTCTAAAGGACTCTTTTGCTTCGAAGTCAATGGGCTGTTATTTGAGCTACTGATATTTTTCAGAGAAAACACTGCCTGCTGTCATATAGCGCACAGTTTTGCAGTTTGAGACAGTTCAACAGGCTCTCTTATTGGATGCGTAATGGCATCCAATTAAGGATGCTCCCTCCAGTCTTTATTCCAATATTTATAGTTACAATAACTCAGTGTTGATATTATCTAACTATAATAGCAGCTGTTTGTGACTGTGTAGATAAATCTCCATAATTCCAGATCTAGTAATGTGATTTTTTTTTTTTTTTATATCTTGTTGCATGGAGAAATAGTTTTTTAACTTAAAGCAAAGCTTTTCTCATTATTTTTTTTCTTAGGAACATGTACATACATGTGTATGCACCAGTGAGCTAACCACTTAGATACAATTGCTTTGATCCTATTCAGAGACTTGTTCCCCCTCCTCCCCTCCACCCCATTGGAAAAAAATCCTGAAACATTTAATGCGAGCCGCCTCCTTGCAAGGCTTTCAGATCAGTCATATGTCTGAGTACAGACAGAGCCCATGTAGTAGGTCCTTCCCTATGCTGAGTTGCTTAATTTTGGAGGCTTACACATTGAATGAGCTTTAAAAATTCCTGGCCTCATTTGTAATTCCTCTCCATCTTTGTTTTTATTTTCCTATATATTTCCCTTGTGAAAATTATTATAGTTGCAATTTATCCTCTTACCACTAATGTTTGGTGTCTTCTGATTGTTGCCTTCTAGAATGCTGAGTAGCAAGGCAAAATTGCTGTCTGGAAATGGGTGGCTGAGATGGAAAATTAGGTGATTCAACTCTGATTACACAGTTTCCCATTATTACAGTCTGTCTGTTAGTCACTTCCATATGTTGTATAGTTTCAGTGACAGCAAAATTTTAAAAGAAAGAGAGAGAGAGAAATCCGGGACAGTTTCTTTGGGACAGAGGATAAAGTATGGACATGAGAATCTAAGTATCAAATACAACCATACAGAGCATCCCTGCTTTGCTACAGTAATGGATTTAAAGTCCTAATATCTTTTCTAGAGCTTGTGATTTGAGACTTGTGTATGTGAAACAAGTAGCAGTGCTGCTTCAGTAACAAGTCCATTGGTACTTCCTACACTAAGACTTGAATTTGTTCCCCAAACTAGGCATTGCTTAGGAGAGTTATGGTATCGCCAAATGGAGTGAACATTTTATACCATAGAAAAAAGAAAAATGCTCAAGTAATTGTATATGACTTCTCAGTAGCCAACTGGAGAGTTCTGGTTTTTAGCTTGATGTCTTCCATTGTAGTGTTAGTTATCATGAAGTGTTTTGTAGAGGGTTAACTCTTTTATAGTAGCCCAGTTTACAGAGATTGATATAGAAAAATCTTGGTAATATCAATCTGAATTTAAAACACTAAGAGGTAATAGTGATGGTCATTTTTATTGGGTTCTTGTTTTTGTTTTTTAGGGCTGTTGTTGGCCCAAGATGCCTCTGAACGAGCAGCTCTTCTTCAGCCTGGACTTCTGTCTGATGGGCAGTTTTATTCACCACCTGAATCTGTAGCAGGTAATTATGCTCTGAATTTTTATGCTGGTAGTACTGTCTTCTGGTATTAATTTCCTTTGGCTTGTTCTTAACACAGATGGTATTTAACCTTGTACGTCAAGAAAGATTTTATTTTTTGCTTTTGCTGCAGAGAACGTAGTCTTTATCTGTCTTTTGACGCATTTCACCCATTTGTAACTCAGACTTCTTTCTTAAGCCTACTTATGTGACACCTAAAAAGATATTTGCAAGTGAAAAGCTGTACAGGAGTATAACACTGCAGAAATCTGAGACTTATCCATTGCCCCCCAAAATCATCTTTAAATATATTTTTTCACCACACAAAAATAAGAAAATACATTTTAAAATACTTCACAAGTCAGTCGGACATTAATTATGGGATTCCCTCTTCTTGTGCAGAGACCGAAATAAAATCTTTTATACAGATATGATTCTTAAATATGTTTAATTACACAAGCTTACCATTTAGATGGGAAACTCGACAGAAGCATATAAAATAATTAGTGGTAGAGTTGAGGCCCTTGGTTCTTGTATCCATAGTGTCATGAAGCCTCATGAGGCATCATTTCTATTGTCAACAAGTTGTTCTAAGGACAGCAAGTTTAACATAAATCATAACTTGAGACTGAGGCCTTTCTTGCTTTTCAATTACTAGAAAACTTAGTTCTGTTTAAAGTTTTGCAGATGCATATAAGAAATTGAGTTCTGTTGAGGCTTATGTCAATTTTATCTTCAGTAAACCATGGTCAGGTCAAGGTAGGAAAACATAAACCAGAAACAAATAGCTATACAGTCGTATCCAAAGATGAGCTTACTTGCCCCAGACAGTTTCATTCGGAGTTCTGAGACACAGATGTTGAACCCTACATGTCAGATTAGTCACTTTAGGAGAAGAGAACTGCTCTTAATACAGCTGAGATTTTCATATTTTAAAAAGGGATGTAGAGGATGGCAGGTAAAGTGCTGACATAATATGCAGAATACTAGAGATAAGGTCATGTCTTGTTAGGTTGTCTTTTAAAGACTCATGTTGGCAGTACTTTTTATAGACTAATTCAGCTCCTGACCTTACAGTTAGTTTAGGGACCCTTCATAGCTTTGTCCTTAGGGGTGTTCACTTACAGAAGGAAAAAACCCAGAATTATCTCACTTAGCTTCTTGCAAGGAGCTCGTCAGCCAGGGATTAGGATCACTTTTAACAAATAGTGCAAATAGTTAGTTAAGACATGCAAATAGTTAAGACTTGCTAGCAACATCTCAGCCCTGCTTTTTGCTACCTCCTGGTCCTTTCTATGGCCAATCCTCTTCCATGCTTGACCCTTGGGATCTCTTGTGGTTCTCTGGGTATATTCCAAACTATTAAATTAGACAGGATATCTGTATGTAGAGCAACAGTAGCGGGGGAAGGTCTTGTATCTGGTTGTAGTACAGTGTGTGTATTCCTGAAGTAAGGAAATCTGCATCTGTTCTTTGAATGAAAGGGTCCATTCTCTTGGCATGGTAAGGAGTCTACAGCTCTAGAAATATTTTGACAGTCGGTCCACACATTTTTGACACCTTAAAATCTGCCATTAGAAATGGTAGAAGTGGGGTGTTTTGAACTATCTTAATTCTGGCTATGGATCCCTGGAGATAATAGTATAAAGTCCAGATTAGATTGGATTCTTTACTGAAAAGATTTTGTTTCATCTTTCTAAACCGTCTTCAAAAGACATCTCCAGTTCAACAGCTCCACCTAGCTGTTAATATGTGTTCCTTTTAACTTCCAAGTTCTTGGATACCACAGCTCCTAAGAGAAGTCTGTATGTACAGAGAATTAGCTAGGCAGCACAAACCAAATAACCTTTTGTGTAGTGAAAATACCTTTAGTAACAGCAATGTAAATGCCAAAATTGCAGTCCTTTTGTAAAGCGACAACATAAAAACAGGGTCAAATCTGTTTTCATTGTTACTCAGTATTGGTGATTACTTTTTTTTTCTCCATGTGGCTATTAGTGACAGTGCTGTTTACATATCATATGGAGATGAGCTTACACTATCACTGAGGAACAAGAGTGCCGAGATAATTAAGAAGAAATGCTGTTACAGTAAAAATGTAATGAATAGAATAAGTAAAGTGAAGGCGTCTGCTAAAATGTCATAGCAGAATAAAAATGTTTGCCTATACTGCCATCAAGTGGTGATAAGAGGCACCATGACAGTTCAAAACATGGAACAAACCAGTTTCATGCTACCGTACCTTTGCAACTTCCTTGGCTTTGAAATAAAGTTGTGATATTTCCCGTGGGTAGCTGTAAACTATAAATAACAGTATGGTCACTGGAAGAAGCATGGATTGAAAATATATTTTCTGGGTAATTTAAACTGGAAAATATTTTAAGTGTGATCTTTTGTCTAATCTTGCTTTCAGCAGATTTTGAAGAATATTAGCAGAAGTAATTTGCTAGATATAACCTAATCTTTGGCAAAAAAACACAAGGAGAATAGAAACTATGTTAGAGTTGTAATGTCAAATTCTGTGCTGTGAAGAAAGAAAACTGAATCAGAGACCAGGATTCAAATGTGTTCCATGATGAATGATGACGATAATCCATCCTGTAGTGATGCCATGAATTTAAGAGAGATGTGCATCCAGAAATAATAGAGGCAGCACTGGTGTTAACATTAGGTGATTACCATATTTCTGATCATTTGCATTTAAGACTTCAAAGAGAGAAGGGAGATTGTGGATAAAAATAAAAGAAAACATTTTAATTAAAATCCTTAGATATATTTTGTAAATTCAGAGAAGCCGTATTGTATAGTTTAGAAATGTCATTCAAGGGTCATGCTAAACATCGTTTTTATATTTAGCTACAGCACTCTAGGGAGGTTTTGAATAAATACCTCTCTAGAGGTATGTGAGGTGGGGGTTTTTTTTTCCTATCAGTATGCTCTGTGCATTTTTTACAGCTTTGTGTGTAGTCACTTCACCCTCTCCCTGTGCAGTCAATTTCTCCCATGCCAAAATGAACTTAAACATCCAGAGGAGATCAGAAAAACATTTATAAATGCATTTAAAAAATAGGAAATATTAGTTAGAAGTGCTTTATTAGAAGATGGAATTTGATTTAAACTAGTGTTTTCAAAAAAGAAAAAAATGCCTGTTTTGAGTAGAATGGGCCAGCTTCATTTACGGTACTTATATCTCCAGTAAGTGGCTAAAGATTGCTGCATAACCATTATGGTTGTAGCAGGTGCAAAACCAGCCTGAGAACAGTTAGATTTTTTTTTTTTTTTTACAGTTATTTTATAATTTAAACCTCAACATTCAGGAGGCAGTTAAGCCATACCACGCAACAAGAAAATCTCATGTTTTTTTCTAGTTTGGCAAGAAACAAAATCCTCCAGACCCTGTGGGTTTTATTTTTTACCACAGATTTCATGTGAAAAAATGGAGCACTACTCTTGTCCCAGGTTTGCAACCTGGCTTTAAACTGGTTGGCACAAAACCAAAGTAAGATTCCCAGGCACTTCTCATCATAAACAGCTCTTTCGTTGCTGCGATCAAGTGAGGTTCTCACAGGAAAAAATAAAACTAAGATATATGTTCCCATGGACTGGTTCAGAGGCTGAGAGAAATTTCTTTCTAGCCACGGGCACTGCCAGGTGTGTCGGGATGAAGGAGGGGCAAAGAAATCCTCATCTAGATGTGTGATTCCTGTGCCGATCCTTACCTGACTTACATGGTACCTTCACTTCACTAATAGATCCGCCTTTCCTGAAACTATGGTATTGACTGAGGTACTCAAATCCCCTAGGTCAGTAGTTCTCAACCTTTTTTGTACCAGGACCCATTTATAAATGATGATGGCCAGTCCTGACCCAGTGCCTCTCACTCCTGACCTGCTGCCCCCAGTGTGGGGGGCAGGGAGGGATGTGGGGTGTGGGGAGCCCCAAGCAGCCCCTTGCAGGATGGCAGTTCCAGCCTGCAAGGAAAAGCCACCATTTCCCATGCTTTTGTTCTTTAAAGGAGAATCCATTTTTAAAGTTTGTTGATCCATTTATAAAGTTATTCATGATCCTTTCATATATTTTTGTGGCCCACTTTAGGGTTGTGACCCATGGGTTGAGAAACTCTGCCCCAGACTGCACTTCCTTTTACTAATTGGCATGGGAGATAGGGGCATCTCTTTCTCAGCTTCAGGTGCTGTGTCCAGCTGAATCATTTCTTTTGTACGTGCCAGAATACTTAGGGCAGGGACACGCAAGCAATGCTGACGGCTCACAGTTACAGCATGTCAGCTGCTGTATTGCAGCTGCCCATGTGTATGTTCATATAACCATAAAAGCCAGCTCATAGTAAGTTACGCTGCTGGGTAAGAGCATATACATCAGGAGTTGCCACAGAGCAGCTGATTAATTGTGAGTCTTTACCTTACTATTGCTCAATTGTGTGCTGTGTCTTGACAGTAAAGTCAAAAAGATGAGATCCAGAAATGGAGGCAGAAGATCACTAATGATTGAAAAGTATATGTGGGTGATGTTGAAATGAGACTAATTGTGAGGAAGACCTCCAGTTAATTAGCTTCTGAAAAACTGATCTTATTTCCTCATTTTAAACTTCTTGAAATGAAATGTGAAAGGTCTGATGTGCATACTAGACTGCAGAGTCTAGATGTCAGAGAAAGCAGATGTTAGAGATTTAAATTGCCTTGTGTCTCCTGCTTCCAGCAGTGGGCACCAACATTCATGCTGTTAACATTTTTTTTTTCAAATTAACTTGAAGCTGATTAAAGAAATATCCTGCGGAAAACTAATGAGCATTAATCTGGAGTGACAAAAAAATCTCCTTAACCATGTATAAATTTAGAACTATTGCTGATCTCAGTCTGGAATGGATTCAGAATAAATTCTTAGCACCTGGAAAAGTTTTCTGTAGATACATACTTCACAGTTATGTGGTGCTGGCAAAAGAAGCTTCTACCAAGTGAATTTGCACTGTTGAGACAAGGAGCTAGATTCTTCAGGAATACTTCTTCTGATAATGTCTGGTAGATTGAGATGCTATAATTATCGATGTGTATGGTGCAGTCAGTTGAGTACATGACTGTGTCCTGAATTCCAGTCTTGCTCTTGATACTGGCTTCTCCTTTGGCCTTGGTTAAATTATTTAACCTCTGTATAAAAAGTTGTTAAATTCCCAACAGTGGTCACAACTGTGTTCTGATCATACTACATTTTTGCTTGGTCTGATAGTATAAAACAGGGGTACGTGTACCCCCGGTTGACAACCCCTGGTCTAAAACACTGTTAATGTTCAACATGGCATGGTGAGGAGGGGGGAGGTAGTGATTATTAATCAGCTAATGTTTTATGAACTATTACAAATGTAAAGGCTAATAATGGGCTACATATTCTAAAGTAAAATTGGAAAAATGCCTATGCAGTTTGAATAGCATCTTTATTTTAAGGTCCTGGATACTACTTTCACAAAATAAATAATTTCCCTTTTTTCCTTCCTATTCAGGATCTGATGAAGAATCTGAAGAAAAACAGGATAGTGAAAAACCAGTTGTATAGCAAATATGAGATAGCAGGCAAGTGCTGCTTTAGGGAAAATGCATCCTGCATGTAACATTTTTTCATTTTAATTTCATTCCCTTTGCACACTGGGAATTGGCCATTATGTGAATAGTTAATATGGCAGTTCCCAAACTAGGGGTTGTATATCCAACAGGAAGTCAGTTGTTTGTGCTAGCATTGAGGCTTTCAGCCTGATGGAAGTTGGCCTGACGACCAGAAACAGCTTGAAAATTCCACTGGGTTAACAATTTTGAAACTGTCCTGTTTTTATTTGTGGTGCTCTCTGCTAGCAAATACTGTTCAGCAATTTTTTTTAGGCTATTCAGGGTCTCGATTATGACCTTCCTATTGGCTCCGATTAGCCCTGTCTTCTGCCTTGGAGCCAGTTACTTATGAGGTCAAGGCATATTTGTTAAGTGGATTGTGGTCTAAGAACTGTTTATGGAGCACAGTGTAAAGGGAAGTGAATTAGCTCTGTGTGCAAACCTGTTGACCCCCTGGTATTCCTTCTGCTGCTCACCTGGAAGGTTGGAAATGAGCACAGAGTTAAAAGATCTCTTTTGGGGGAAAAAAGGGAGAGAGCCCTATGACGGGAGGGGTAAGATAGAAGATGAGACGTTAGTTGGGTTTAGAATCTCAAGTGAAGAGTCAAAAGGTTGTGGGGTTTTTTAATAGAAGAATAAAGAGGCAAAATATTGTTTGGAGAGGGTTTGATTTTTGCAGTTTGTAATCTGTGTTTGTCATTCTGTCTTTAAAATTCAGTGTAAGTTATTTCATTTGTATATCAAGGGTCCTTTTTTGTTAATTGCCTGTTGGAGAAACAGAATTATTTCTCTGGTTTTTAGATTTGTCCTGCCCTGTGCACTGTTTGTACCAAAAATTATTCTAACTGGTGAGGAATTATTCAAACTGGTGAGGAATGAATCTTAGAAGTTTGAGATTCTTTTCATAGCTTATTTCTGCTTATGTTACTAGTAGTAGCTGTTGCTCTTTTCTTTTGAGTCTGTCCCTCTCTGATGCCATCTTGGATCAAATTCTCCATTTGTTCATCTTGATTTGTTTAATCTGTTACAGAGTGAAAATCTAAATGAGAAGTTGCCAGGAATGTGATTATGTTGAAACTGTAATGACTATGTCTGTAATTAACTTACTGATGGAACTGCTAACAAAAGAACTTATTAATTAGAAAGCAACGGGAGTGATTCCCATGTACTGTTACCTCACAAACTTGTATCTTGTTCACATATGTATATTAGGCTGCCTCCTGGCTGATATGAAAAAACTACTCATCCATAATGTATTCAAATGATTATTGAAGTTGATCTTCTAATGACTAGATAGTTAATGGAAAGTGTTGTGCTTGTGTACCTAATCAGTAGACCTGTAATATATTGAAGTAAAACTTCTATATGATGAAAATATATTTAATGATTGAATTCACTAGATGAAATTATTTTACTTTGTTCAAAGTTTTGTCACTAATTTTACATTTGCTTTTTTAACTCCATTCATTTTTCTTTTTTTAAATGGATATATGCACTGTTTCTAAAATAAAGCAAAATATTAATAAGACAATGTCCTGTTCTAATATGTTTGCCCCCTTATTGGATGAAGGCTAGCTCTTCCCACTTCTTTGGCAACAAATAGTTAACACTGACTTTTGTTCTTGCATAGATTTTATAGGAAAGATGTAAAAGTTGGTTTAATTTTGCCCACTGTGATACAGTCTAGTGTTAGGTGAGTGTAATTCCTCGTGTAGCAACCTGTGCTACAGGAGAATCCTGTTTGTTTAAATAGAAGGTGTCTGATAACCCTTTGGTTCAGGTTTGTTTTCATTGCAGAGGATAGACATGACTCAGTTTTGGTAAGGGGGGTTGCATAAGCTAGGTTTATTCACAAATTATGAGGTTTACATGGGCAGGAGGGAATGAAAAATAAAGTCTAACATATTGGAAAGATTTGTGATCCCAAGCCCTGCTTTCTGGTGGTCACATTTATAAATCAGTCATTACATACTGTTAATGTTCACATTCACAAGTAATATTTTCAGTCTAGTGCAAAGAACAGAAAACACCTTTTATTTTCAATCATCTCTTTCACTTAATCTTTTCTATGCTGTTTGTTTTTAACTTTTTATATAAATCACTGTTAATGTTGCCTTGCATCATTTTCCAGTGTAAATTCAACACCATTGATGAAAATGTTGGCATTAATACCAAAACACTATGGGTCACATTCTTTTTAAGTGCATCTGTTGCAGTTGTTCATCAGATATTACAGTAAGCCAAGATTTCCAAAAAGAAGTTGAGGAACTGGTGCTATTCTTCACTATAAACATGGCAGTTTTTATTCTCTTCTTCTGTGTCTTAGCTAGAGAAATCAAGAAGACTAAACCCATTCTGTGATTTTTTTCAGGTGATCAGCCTGGGTCTTAATGTGGAATACCTACCCTTAAGATCTCTCTAATGGGTTACCCCAAAATTGAAATAACCCTTCACTACTCACTTTAAATCTTGCCCCGTTTGTTAATTTTAACAAGTGCACAACAGCCAGCCTCCTATGACTGTAGATGGCACTGCTTTACTCTGAAGTGGCCTACGAGGTGGCAGCAGTAGTTTCAATAGACTTGTGTCACTAGCTAGAAAGAGAAATTGAAGTGAAAAAAAGCATCTTTTCCCCCAATTCTCAACAGTCAGAATATTTTTTCAGAATATTTTTCATCCAGTTTGCACAAAGCATTTCTTTGGGTGGTGGAGTTCTGGGGATTGTTACTCATAATATGTACTTTGAAATAATGTTTTGACAATAAAATTTGAATTTATTATGGCTTTCTTGTTTGTTTATAGTATAGTAATACCTAAAAATGGATTCATTGCACCTGGTGCAGTACAAATACAGAGCAAAAAGACATTGTGGTCCCAAAGAGTTTCTTTTCTATGTGAGCAACTCCACTGTGTTTTAATGGCAAAAATTAATCCTAATGCTGTTTATCAATTGTATCAGAAAAACCACAGGCTTCCCATCGGACGGTCTGACCTCATTTTTCATCAACAATTTCTGTTCTATAATGAGTATGCAGTGGGTGAAATATGTACATGATCATTTCTGAATAACTGTTTGCCTTTTACTTCAATGTAGCTAGTAGTTTTTCTGTTGTTAGACCTGAGGTCATAACTGGTTGGGTACATCATATTTTCTATAGCACTGCATGTGTGTGTTTGGATGTAAAATGTTCATTTGAGGATATTTGCCTTCACAATTAAGTTACCTAAAGTCTGAAAGGTTGTAAACCTTGTGTAATAACATTATGATGTTGAAGCAGGAATATACCTGCCTATAGGCTTCAGACAGTCCCTTGATCCTTACAGTAAAGATTTATTCTCTTTAATAGTGTACCTCAGCATACTGTAAATTAAGCTACTGTTTGTAGAATATAAAGTACTACCGTACTGTGTACATGTTATTCAGGCACTTTTATTTGGTTGGTATTTCCATTAGCTATCATTTTTAAGTATATTGTGGTGGAACATGCAGCAGGCTGCGGTTTAACTGTCCTTGTTTTTATCACAAACCCTGACCACAACCTGCCTTTTCTGAACTAGCAGTGACTGGTTCAGTGTATAAAAATTTCCACTAAGTAACCACACTATTCAGCAACAAAATAACACAAACATCTACAGGCTCCCCATGTTTAGCATGTTTAAGTACAGGTCACCCTGGGGCTCATGAGCTCTTGCAACTGTGAAATTTGCTACCACAAACTTGATAAACCTCAGCCATTGCTATGTGGTAACTGGTGTAGAACAGGATATAGGCAGCTCTTTTTTTATGCTAAACTTGAAAAGTTAAGCCATATTTGCTCTAGACCATATGAAAAATACCCAGAGGGTCACAATTTCACACTTAAATCTCAAATATTGCAATCTGATGTTATTTAAAAACTTTCTCACTCTTTTTGCTGAAGTGTTTGGGATAGTTTGCAGGCAACATCAATACCAGAATTGGATTCAATACCATAATATAGAATAGGCAAATTAGATTAAATAGGCATAATATAGAATAGGCAAATTCATAATATAGAATAGGCAACATCAATACCATAATATAGAATAGGCAAATTGGCAAAATGGCTCAAATGCTTCCATACAATATTGAACATATATTTTTCTCTCTAAAATGCAGGGAAGACTTTTGGCCAGATTCTTAATGGTGTGGAGTTACTAGTTTACAACCCCTAATCTAGCCTAATGAAAGCTTTGTAGTAATGGATTGTTCTGGTTCTCACAGGGGTTAGACTACAGCAGCAGCAGTGGAGATTCTGTTGTGACTTTTTCCCCAAAATGTCAATGTTATTAAAGGCCATTATAATTGAATGCAATATCTTTATTTCAGAGATTACTCGTAAGTATTTTATTTTCATTTCCTGGAAAACCAAGCTAACCAACTTTTTGATTCAGATGGTAGAGAGGCAAGGGGGATGCTCTTCTTGACTTGCTGCTCACAAACAGGGAGGGATTGGTTGAGACCTGTGAAAGTCAAAGGTGACCTGGTGACAGCAACCATGAAATGATAAGAGTTCAAAATCCAAGGGGTGAGGAGGGAAGGAGAGCACCAGAATAAGGACACTGGACTTCAGAAAAGGAAACTTTAGCAAACTTGGGGGCCTGATGGACAGGGTTCCTTAGAGAGAGAATCTTAGGGGAAAAGGAGTCCAGGAGAGCTGGCTGTACTTTAAGGAGGCTCTCTTAATGGCACAGGAACAAGTTATCTCAATGATACAGAAGAATGGAAAGTGCAACAGGAAACTAGCCTTGCTAGCCAGTGATCTTTTCAAGAAGTTGAATCTCGAAAAGGAATCCTATGAAAAGTGGAAACTTGGTCATAGTACCAGGGAAGAGTATAAGACTATTGCACAGGCATGCAGGGAGGAAATTGGGAAGGCCAAAGCACTTTTGAGATGCAGCTGGTAAGGGACATAAAATACCATAAAAAGGGATTCTGAAAGTACAGTATGTCAAGAGCAAGAAGAGGAACGGAGATTGCAGGGGTTCCTTACAGAATGCAGAAGGGAATCTAGTCACAGGTGGTGCTGAAAAGGCTGAAGTATTTAATGATTTTTTTTTTTTTTTACTTCAGCTTTCACAAATAGGGATAGCTACCACTTCATAAGTGCAGTTGGAAGCAGAGGTAGGGAAGGAGATGAGCAGCCTAGAGTAATGGCAGACAGGTTAGGGATTACTTACAAAAGCTGGATGCTATTGAGTTGGCAGAGCCAGACAGGATGAACCCAAGGGTACTGAAGAAATTGGCTGAGATTAATTTCAGACTTGGCTTTTTGAGAACTTTTGGAGGTCAAGTGAGGTCCCAGATGACTGGAAGAGGACAAATATTAAAAAAAAGGAAAGAATGAGGATCCAGAGAACTACAGACCAGTCAGCCTGACACTGATACCCAGAAAGATCATGGAGCAGGTGCTCAGAGAATCTGTGGTGAAACATCTAGAGAAGAACATGGTGATCAGGAAGAGCCACATGGATTCACCAGGAGCAAGTTATGCCTGACCAATCTGATTTCTTATAATAAAATGACAAGCACCGTGGATGAGGGGAGAGCAGTGGTTATGGTATATGCTGATTTTTAGCAATGCTGTTGACACCGTCTCCTACGACATCCTCATTAACAGGCAAGGAAATGCAAACCAGACAAAAGTACTGTAAGGTGGATACATAACTGGATCATTGTGCTCAATAACTAGTCCTCAATGGTTCAATGTCTAGCTAGAAAGAGGTATCAAGTGGTGTTTCCCAGGGGTCTGTCCTCGGTCTAGTATTGTTCAATATCATTCAGTAATAATTTATGGGATTGAGTGCACACTTTGCAAATTTGTGGATGACACCAAATTGCAGACACTCTGAAAGATAGGGCTAGGGACCAGACTGCAGAACAATGGTCTGCAATCAATGAGATGAGATTCAGTAAGGATAAGTGCAAAGTCCTGCACTTGTGACAATAACTGCATGTTCAAATATAGACTGGTGAATAACTGGCTAGGATCCAGTACTGCAGAGAAGGATATAGGGGTTACAGTGGACTAAAAATGAATAGCCAATAGTGTGCTCTTGTTGCCAAAAAAACCAAACTGCATACTGGGTTGTATTAACAGGCGTGTTACTTGCAAATCAAGGGAAGTGATTCTTCCTCTGTTCAGCACTGCTGAAGCCTCTTCTGGAGTATCATGTCCAGTTTTGGGCCCCATGCTTCAAGAAGGTTGTGGAGAGTTTGCAGACCAGTGCAGGGTAACAAAAATGATTAGGGCTTTGGAGGCAAGACTTATGAAGGAATGCTGAAAGAGGAAAGGCTTATGCAGAAGAGAAGACTGAACGGGGGAAGTGAGGGACTTGATAAGTCTTCAAATACCTGAAGGTTGATTATAGAGAGAATGGAGATGGGCTTTTTTCTGTTATTGTGGAGGACAGGACTAGGTGCAATGGCCTCAAGCAGCATCAGGGGAAATTTAGGCTGGAAATTAGGAAGAACTTTGAGTATGAGAGTGGTCAGGCATTGAAACGGGCTACCTAGATAAGTTGTGGAACCTCCATGCTTAGAAATTTTCAAGAGCAGTTAGATACTTGGCTGGGATAGTTTTAGTCAGGGATGATCTTGCCTTGAGCAGGGGACTGGACTAGATGACCTTGTGAGGTCCCTTCCAGCCCTTTTTCTATGATCCTATGAACCAGTTTAAATGTGTGTTTCTATAAGATTCTGCCTTCTGAATTACAGTTAGGCTCTCAATTCCTATTCATCTTGAAAAGCAAGTAGAAGCTATTCTGAATTGCTTTTGGTTTCAGAAGGCCTGTTCCTGAAGCGAAATACTTTGTATGAACAAGATTTTGGAACCTAGCCAAAGTCTTTTAAAACAGTCCTATACTAGCGATACTATTTTTTCCAGTTTACCTATTCTGTAAGAAACACTTTCAATAAACCTGTTTTGTAACT